TATATATATATATATATATATATAAAGAGAGAAAGTTTGAAAATACCAGCCTGTGATCTTTGAATTTCCTTGCTCTGAATTCAGTGATTTCCAGAAAACCAGGGATGAACTGCTCAAGGCAACCAACTAGACCTTGGCCTCCTTTTGATCATGAATCAGGCCTCTTCCATTTGTTGGCAACAATGTCTGGTAGAAAGGACTGATGATTCCCCAAGACTGAAAAGCAGAGTCTTTAAGCAATAAATTTTCAAAATGATCTGAAAGGGCAAAATGGCAAATTGGTTCTGTTTTTTACCTCTCAATAAGCAAGTGATAAAACTGCAGTTCATTCCACTAAAAACTGTTCATTCATTTCTGTTAATTCAATAAACTTCAGCTGAAGGCCTCTGCATGCAGAGATATGTGTAGAGAACCACAGAACAGCCAGAGGTTATGCCCTCAGGTATTATGCGCATGATGTGAGGTATGCAAGAAATTAGTACAAGCTGGGTGCAGTGACTCACGCCTGTAATCCCAGCACTTAGGGCGGCCGAGGTGGGTGGATAACCTGAGCTCAGGAGTTCAAGACCAGCCTGGGCAGCATGGCAAAACTCCATCGCTATAAAAAAAAATATAAAAATTAGCCAGGAGTGGTGGCATGTGCCTGTAGTCCTAGCTACTTTGGGAGGCTGAGGTGGGAGGATCACTTGAGCTCAGGAGGCAGAAGTTGTAGTGAGACACTGTACTCCAGCCTGGGCAACAGAGTGAGACCCTATCTCAAAACAAAAACAAAACCAATAATGGGTTGAGTGCCATGAGAAATAGCTAGAAACCTTGATAGGAAATGGGCTGTTTCGAGCAAGGGAAGGAGGAATCAGGGTAGAGTTTAATTGGAAGGGCCTTGAAGGAAAAATTGCTAGGGATGAAAAACATTCCAAGCAGAGAAACTTACATTGGCACAGAGGCAGGAAAATGGAAAACATGTATGAGGAACAACGAATAGTTTAGTTTGGCTGAAACCGAAGTTTGGCAAGAACAAGAGTAGTTGGAAAGGTCCATTGGGTGGGTGTCTGAAATAAACACTCTTTGTCCATTTCAGTCTTTCCACGGTTGTACCACCTGATTCCAGATGGCGAAATTACCAGCATCAAGATCAATCGCGTGGATCCCAGTGAAAGCCTCTCCATTAGGCTGGTGGGAGGTAGTGAAACCCCACTGGTCCATATCATTATCCAACACATTTATCGTGATGGGGTGATTGCCAGAGACGGCCGGCTACTGCCCGGAGACATCATTCTAAAGGTAGAGACTGTGGCTGTGGGGCTGCAGCTAGGGGCTTGATATAAAAAATGCTTCTGAGCAAATAACTGGATAGGTGGAGAGATGAATGAGGGAAAATAGTAAAATAAATGTGGACAGTTACCTTCCACTGTTCTATGACTGTCTCTGAGATTTGTCATTTAATTGAGATCTTCGTTCCTCTGTCTTACTCTTTTACTCTCTCTGCTTTCTCTCTATATAAATACTTCTATCTCTGTATCACTTTGTCTGTATCTTCTTCTCCCCTCTTCCTTCTCCCTTCTAGCTTTTTCCATTTTCTCTTCATCCCCTTTCTCCACTTCCTCTTTCTTTTATCTCTTTTTTAAAGAGCATTAATATAAAATAAAACTGGGATATATATCTTCTTAAATTGTTGTTAGAGCAGATTAATAGAACATGTTGTATTTTATCTCATCACAATCACCTCTTTGAAAGTCAATTTCCTGTAGTCTTATGGCCCTCTGTGAAAATAAAAGTCATCTCTATGCTAGTTCCACCAACCCAGAGACATTCCAGGGAGACGGGTGTTGGAATAGAACGCTTTGGGTGTACTGTTCTCTGAGGCTTGGTTAAGGGGAAGGACTTTAAGGAAGAATTTCCAGAACAGAAAGGATAAAGAGCTGTTTATCAGGCAGAAGTCCAGTGTTTGCCAAAAGTGACAAGAAGCCCCTCCCTGCTCATATATTTTCAAGCTGATACTCGGATAACAGTTCTATCCCATCCTATCCCTTCTAGGTTGCTGAGGGACTGGCTTCTGTCACATTATGAGCTGTTTCTTTGGCAAACTGATTGGAATAAGAGGAGAAATAACCTAAAGCAGTTTTCACAGAAATGCTGAAATTCCCGCTGACCTCCGAGGTGGAGCACAAGACAGGGCCCCTGGAGCAGTCAGCAGTACAATCAGTGACACTGTGCACAGCTGCCTCCTAGTTCTAGTGGAAACTCTGCTGCCTGGGAGGGTTGCATAAAACATTTTGATTCTGTGGCCTTCAACTGGCGCTTACAGGCAAAGGGCCTGCCAGGACTATTTAGCAGGCAACCCTGACTCCCCGACCTTCTCTGGGCCTGGCGGTGATGGGGAACCCGGCCCTGCCACTTCGGGTGCTCTACTCACCTGTGCTTGGACAAGGGTGGCAAGTTTTGCCTTTGCATGAGGGAACCTCCAGAGACTGTGTCCTCAGGAAAGGCCTTTGTAAAGCTCACTGTAAGCCTTCTCTCACCATTGGCTGCAAATACAAGAAACCTTATCAAACTACAGAAATTCAAGAAAATCATTTCTCCTCCATGGGGCCTCCTTCCTCAAGCATAGAGTGCAGCGCTTGCTGTGAAATTGTTTTCTTCCAGGGTGATGACTAACAGGGGGGTCTGCAGCCTCCAGGCTGGGCCTATGTAACCAGGGAAATTAAAACCAGAAAGCCACATGCAGTATCAGCCCTATGCATCATTATGAGGCACCAATGAGAGGGCTGAGCTTAAGCTTGTTTAAGGAGCTTTATAAAGAGATCTAGCCTTTCTTTTTTTTGAATCAAAGTTTCGCTCTTGTTGCCCAGGCTGGAGTGCCATGGCAGAATTTCGGCTCACTGCAACCTCTGCATCCCGGGTTCAGGTGATTCTCCTGCCTCAGGCTCCTGATCTAACCTTTCAGTAAAAGAGCCTAGAAACTTCCTTTCATATTAGTTTGTTTCAAACTGTGCGAGGATTTCTTCCTTTTGCTGAGAACACAGGCAAAAAACCTTGCAGAGGATCACCCTGAAACCTGACACGTTCTCAGGTGCACACACACAGTATCAAACGCACATTCACTCCATCATGCTCACGTACTCGCAGACCCTCACTCGCACACTACCACATCTACATACACGCGCAGTGGTGCGGACTGGAAGTTCTGGTATGCGTTGACCCAGGAAGAAAACTTCAGTTGGAGACTTTGGGGAAGAAAATATCAACTTGGCTTAAACAGCCATTTAATGTAATCATTTGAATGAGGTGAATGTGAAAAATGCTTTTCTTTTGCCTTTTTTCCTACCTTATCTTCCTTCCCTCTCTTTCTGCTGGCTAAAAAATAATGACAACAGGAATGAAGGCCAGGATTCTGTGAATAAGTATGTGGGCTCAGGTAAGAACGAGGTGGAGAAAGATGGCGTCTACTCCCAGAGGTCTGGAGAGGTGCAGCAGGCACACTGGGAGAGAACAGGGTTAGAAACGCAGTTGGAATGTGAGGTTATTGGACATGGGATGAGGGGGGAGAGCAGAGCAGTCTTTAAAGACAGGATCCTGGCTGTGCTGTGGGCCTGGACCTTTCAGGAAGGGCTGTGGCAGGTGGAGCTGACTGCACGATTGTTCCACCTGCCCCCAGGTCAATGGGATGGACATCAGCAACGTCCCTCACAACTACGCCCTGCGCCTCCTGCGGCAGCCCTGCCAGGTGTTGTGGCTGACTGTGCTGCGTGAGCGGAAGTTCCGCAGCAGGAGCAATGGACAGGCCCCGGATGGCTACGGACCCCGGGATGACAGCTTCCATGTGATTCTCAACAAAAGTAGCCCCGAGGAGCAGCTTGGAATAAAACTGGTGCGCAAGGTGGATGAGCCTGGGGTGTTCATCTTCAACGTGCTGAATGGCGGTGTGGCAGATCGACACGGTCAGCTCGAGGAGAACGACCGTGTGTTAGCCATCAACGGACATGACCTTCGATATGGCAGCCCAGAAAGTGCGGCTCATCTGATTCAGGTGAGTCACAGGTCATTCCAGGATCCCAATCAGAAACCCCGGACATGAGCAAGAATGCACATCCCCCTTGAACCAGGCACCCTGTCACTACCACATGTGTCGTGCACTGCCTCTCTTCCAAGGAGCCGGGATATAAGGGCCAGCATCTTCAAAGCTTCTGTCCAGGTAAGAACATTACTTGGCCAGGCGTGGTGGCTCATGCCTGTAATCCTAGCGCTTTGGGAAGCTGAGGCAGGTGGATCACCTGAAGTCAGGAGTTCAAGGCCAGCCTGGCCAATATGGTGAAACCCCATCTCTACTAAAAATGCTGAAAATTACCCAGGAGGGGTGGCAGATGCCTGTAATCTCAGCTTCTCAGGAGGCTGAGGCAAGAAAATTGCTTGAAATTGGGAGGCAGGGGTTGCGGTGAGCCGAGATCGCACCATTGCACTCCAGCCTGGGCAACAAGAACGAGACTCCATCTCAAAAAAAAAAAAAAAAATTACTCAGGTGAATGATGAGTTTCAAGGCCATGGACATTCCCTAGGTGTTGTGTTGCCAGCCCTCCAGTCTGACTGTAGATAAACACGTTGGGTTGTGTGCTACAGTCTCACAGAATTAGGATCACTCAGGGTCAGCAGGGTCGTGTCATCCCTGTTCCCAGTATATTCGTTGTAGACCCAGGGGTCATTTAGATACATTCTGGGCACATCCAAGACATCTGCTTGTCCTAACTCCCGTAAGAAGCTGTGCCATGCTGGATGTAGAAGCTCAGCCAGGTGTGGAGGTTCACACCTGTAATCCCAACACTTTGGGAAGCAAATGCAGGAAGGTAGCTTGAGCTCAGGAGTTCAAGACCAGCCTGGGCACCATCGTGAGACATTTTCTTTACAAAATTCAAGAAATTAGTCAGGTGTGATGGTATATACCTGTAGTCCCAGCTACTCGGGAGACCAAGACAGGTGGATCACCTGAGGTCAGGAATTCAAGGCCAGCCTGGCCAACGTGGTGAAACCTCATCTCCACTAAAAATACAAAAGATTAGCTAGGCTTGGTGGCAGGCATCTGTAATCCCAGCTACTCGGGAGGCTGAGGCAGGAGAATCACTTGAAACCGGGAAGCGGAAGTTGCAGTGAGCTGAGATCATACCACTGCACTCCAGCCTGAGCAATAGAGCAAGACCCATCTTACAAAAAAAAAAAAAGAAGGAAAGCAAGCTGTGCCATGCATGCACCAGGGATCCTCTGGACAGAGGAAGTCTTAGTCTCCATGGCTAGGTCCAGGTGACTTGGAAAGCACATGGAAACCCAAGTATGAGCCTGAGAGGAAGCCACCTAATAAGAGAGGGACACACATTCTTGATCACTCCGGCAAGTAGAGTTCATGACAATGTTGAAACTAATCCACTTTTCTAACCAGTATGATGCCATCAGGCACTCGCACGTATTTTGTTGATTTTGTCAGGATCATCCTTGAAATTTTTTTTTCTTCACTTGAACTTTAAGGTAATTATCAATTAATAGGCAATTGTAACTAAACTTTTTATTTTGAGATAATTATTTAATATGTAATTGTAAGAAATAACACAGAGAGACCCCATTTCTTGTTACCGTTTTTCCTAGTGTTGACATCTTGCAAAACCATAGTATGGCATCACAAGCATGCTGTTGACATTAACAATCATAATGGAATATTTCCATCACCACAGAGATCCCTATAAAAGTTGCCTTCTATTGCCACATCCACTTCCCTCCCACCCTACCTCTCCTTTACCCTTGGAAATCACTAATCTGTTTTCTATTCCTATAATTTTGCATTTCAAGAATGTTATATAAATGAAATCATATATAGACTTGGGGGACTGGCTTTTCTCACCCAGAATAATGCTCTGATATTTCTGTGTCTCAGTGACTTTTCATAAGCTGTGAGCTTTATTCTTAGAGGAACAGACCTTGTTCTGAGTGCTTATGTTCTAATGCATTTATTTACTTCATCCAGCAAATATCTGTTAAGTTCTGCTGCTTACCTGCCCCTGCGTTAGATGCAGAGGATAGAGGGATGATCACTTGGATTATTCTCTCAAAGGACTCCCCAGTGTGGCAGGAAAGCTGGACTTTTTCTAAATGACTGCCCATGCAGGCTAACACTGCTGCAGTGGAGAAATTCAGTATAACGGTGCTGCAGGCGCAGGGGAGGCTTTTGCTTGGCCAGGCCTATGAATTCCTCAGAGGAAGAAGAGCTTGAACTTGGGGCTTGAGGAATGAGCCAAAGTTCTCCAGGTGGACAACCCAGCAAGGGTCACTCTAAGGAGACACAAGACAAAAGAGCATTTCCTTAATAGCCCACATGTTAGTCCATTCTCATGCCACTGATAAAGACATACCCAAGACTGGGTAACTTAAAAAGAAAATGAGATTTAATGGAACCACAGTTCCACGTGACTGGGGAAGCCTCACAATCATGGCAGAAGGTGAAAGATCAATCTTACATGGCAGCAGGCAGGAGAGAATGAGGGTCAAGCAAAAGGGGAAGCCCTTACAAAACCATCAGATCTCGTGAGACTTACTACCACGAGAACAGTGTGGGGGAAAATACCCCCATGATTCAATTATCTCCCGCTGGGTCCCTCCCACAACTTGTGGGAATTATGGGAGTTGGGTGGGGACACAGGCAAACCAAATTGTCCTATTAGGGAAATAGTAAATAATACCTGGAGCTTGGGGTGTGTATTTTAAAAAGCAGCCATGGAGGAGGCAAGACACAGATCGTGTGAAATATTGAGAGCCATGCTGAGGACCTCGGACTTTATCCCAAAGCCATGGGGGCATCCTTGGAAGGGTTTTGGAAAGGAAATGGCATGATCTTCTAGAAGGATCTCTTTAAGGCAGTGGAGAGCTGAAAGGAGAAGGGCAAAGTCCAGAGGCCTTACCTTAGGAAGCATTCTCAATTATCCAGCAAGTCTATGTCAGCTTCCACTTAGTGACTGAAGTCTTCATGCTTGGAAAATAGGCAGTAAGTCAGCAGCAGTAACTGACTGAGCCCTGCATCAAATTCCACACAGGGTGATTCAAAAGACTGCTTGCCCTCAAGGACTTGATCACCTAAACACAGATAAACTTGCCTGCACCTGAGATCTGGTTATGTGATTCTTCCAGGTGCTGACAACTCTCTTCACTGTCCTATGCAGTAACTTATCCCTCTTCTTGAAAGACGACCAAGTGTTGGACAATATTACTGTCGTTGTAGACCTGGGCAGCCTGAGGCAGAGGGTGCACGGGGACCTCTCCTTCTCCCTCTGCCCACCAGGGCAGAAAGCACACGTGGTACCTCAGCTCCTGAGCTGTAGCCTTTGGTGGTGTCCCAGTTCTGAGGTGGCACCCGGTCCCCATGGATGCTCATCTGCCCAAGAGGGCTCGAGCTCATGCCCCGCAGAGCAGGTAGGAAACAAAACCAGAGTTAGAAGAGGCATTTTCTGGCCAAGCGCAGTGGCTCACACCTGTAATCCCAGCACTTTGGGAGAATGAGTCTGGTGGATCATGAGGTCAGTAGTTCAAGACCAGCCTGGCCAACATGGTGAAAACCCGTCTCTACTAAAAATACAAAATTAGCCAGGTGTGGTGGCAGGTACCTATAATTCCAGCTACTTGGGAGGCTGAGGCAGGAGAATTGCTTGAACTGGGAAGGTGGAGTTTGCAGTGAGCCAAGATTGTGCCATTGCACTCCAGCCTGGGGACAGAGCAAGACTTCATCTCAAAAAAAAAAAAAAAAAAAAAACCATTTTCTGTCCGAGGTGTATGCCATCTATTCCCAAGTTCATGTGGCTGCCCCACCTTCTCCTATAATCACACTTTCACCTCCAGATGCCTGCATCGTATCTTCTGTGGATATGGCAGAGACATCTCAAACTTCTTGTCCAAAACTGAACCCTTGGCTCCTCTTCATTCCACCCCTTGCCCACCCAACCTGCTCTCCCCTAGGTCATTCCCCATCTGTAAAAATGGCACTGCTCTTTACCCAGTGACTTGAGCCAAAAAGAACCTTGACTCTCCTCACCGTCCCTCCCCCAACCCATTTTGGCCTGGTCTGGGTGATGGCCAGAGCCTCTTTGCTGGCCTCCTGACTTCCACACTTGATCATCTCCCTCCTGCTCCCCACACAGCAGAGAGAATGAGCTCTACCAGGCCCCTCCAGTCAGGATGCCTGAGACATCCTTACCATGACCTGCCATCGCCTGGCCTTCTGTTCTCTCTCCAACCTCATTTGTTACAGAAGAGAATGCCTAGTATTCTCCCCACATTTAACCATGTGCCACATTGCCTTTTTGTTGCTCTGAAGAGCATTTCTGCCTCAGGGCTGACATTCTTGCTGTTCCTCTGCCCGGAAGAATCTTCTAAGTATCTGTTTGCTGCATTCCCATAATTCATTCAGGTCTCCCCTCAACTGTCACCTCCGCAGGGAGCTCTTCACTCTCAGTCCTACTTAGAATTGTGTCCACTTCTGCATATATATACCTTATCCTATAATACGCTTCAATTCCTACCAATCAATATTACCTGCCAGATAGTACAGTAAACTGTTGTATCCTCAGCCAGCCACAGTGGCTCATGCCTGTAATTCCAGCACTTTGGGAGGCCAAGGTGGGTGGATCACTTGAGATCAGGAATTCGAGACCAGCTTGGCCAACATGGTAAAATCCCATCTCTACTAAAAATACAAAATTAGCCAGGGGTGATGGCGCATGCCTGTAATCCCAGCTATTTGGGAGACTGAGGCAGAAGAATTGCTTGAAACCGGGAGGCAGGGATTGCAGTGAACCAAGATCATGCCATTGTACTCCAGCCTGGGCAAAAAAAGTGAAACTCCGTCTCAAAAAANAAAAAAAAAAAAAAGAAAAAGTATCCTCAGCGCTTAAAGCAATGCCTGGCAGTAGCAGGCACTTGATAAATATTTGCCAAATGAGTAAGTGGAGTCAAATTATGAACATCTATGTGTATCTAAAATAGATTTTATACATTAACTTT